CCTTGAGGGTTATGTGTTCCTCTGGTCCAGGTGTGAGAGGGCAGTGTGGATGGTGAGGGCTATGGCGGCGTCTGTGGACCTGTTTGCTCTGTAGGCAAACTGCAGGGGGTCCAGAGAGTCAGGGAGGGAGGAGGTGATGAAGTGGTGTGAGTGTGTGTGTTTTGAAAAGCAGCCAGCTTTCAAATGGGAGGACTGCCTTCTCATGCACAGGGAAGGATCCACAAAAACACAGGTAACCCAAATATCCACCCGTATTTTCAGATCAAGGGCTTGGGTGTACCTCGCACGACAGGTTAGGCATGGTACAGCAAACGGCAGTTGATACTCCCCAGTCACCAGTGAATGGCAGTGAGACAGCCGGGGTGTGTTGGGGCTTGTTTTTAGCACGGTGGGATGCACATTGTAAAGGCCTTGCCACCAGGAGATTTCCTGCAGACATGCATTAGAAATCCCTGCACGCCTGAGGCCACTTTCACAAGTCTGGTAGGAGACATTTCAAAAGATCAGCAGGTCCTTTGATGCTTTCTTTACTTACTGGCCATTTCTCATATTAATCGTCAGTGCAACTTTCTTTTTCACTAACCTGGTTTCAGGACACCACTGTGTACAGTTGGCCAGAGCATTTGTTGGCAGATAAACATTACACGGTGGTATTCAGGATCAGGTGTTTTAATGTGCCGCTGCTCACGTCAGCTGTGTAACCCCGATACTTTCCAAACTAATCTCCAAAACACACAAAGAAAAGATCGGTGGACGGACCACTTTGAGTGACAGCCAGTATTCCCAGCGGCACAATTAAGTATTGGTTATGACAGTAGATATGAGTAACTTAGGGCTTTAACTAATGACTTTTTCCTCATCGATCAATCTGCTCATTGTTTTCTACATTATTTGTTTATTCAGTAAAAAAATGAAGGTTGTCAGTCCAAAACAAATATATTCACTGCAAATCTCCATATGAGAGTGGCTGAAAACAGTATTTCCTGCTATTTTTGCACGAGGAATTGTTTAACTATTAATACCTCTAACCAAAAAATGTAAACCAATAGTACCAAAAAGGTTATTCTGTGGATCGAAAAGTGCAGCTCTAGTGCGGAGCGCATGAAACTAGCCCTTCTGTGAACAGCTTCTAGATTGTTTAGCTACTTCAGTACACAGTGGGGTAGTGCGAGGGCTTTGCACAGATGGGAGCCGAGTGCTCAGCTGTAGTAGCTTTAATGAAGAGCAAGAGTAGTCCTTTTGTGAGCACACACATGAAACAGATGCTCCCTCTAATGCCATATATATATATATATATATAGTTATGCCCAAGTATACTAGTATGTTATTTACTTGCTATTGCAGGATGCTAAAGAACTATGAAAACAGCAGAATCTGTCTTTCAAACTGTTCCCATCTTATAGTGTATCTTCACACAAACAGTGCAAAGACTAAAACAGCTCAAACACATTACCACGAGTTTCATCAACTCAAACACTGCTACAGCCCAGTGCTTGAAATTCCAAACTTTTTGCAGGGCTTCACTTCTGTGTGCCTCCCCTCCCCCACCACCCTGGCTCAAACATTGTACTGGCCATGACTGCTCCCTCTGAACTGTTCTTTACACCACTGCCCCTCCACCCCCCCAACCCACTTGGTTGTCAACCTTGCTATTTATGTGCTTGTTTGCCAACACTAAAAGCAAAGCCTGCCCGATTCCCTCCCATTCATACCCCCGACTGTACTGCATTTTCACACAGCTAGGGTCTACATCCCACCATCGGCCCTCTTTGCGAGTTTTGGGCTGGAAGTTAAGGCCTGCGAAGGGGCTGGCTGCTTTGGACAAAAGGAGCCTGTGTTTCCCAGCCCTGCCTCCCTGTCCAGAAACCACAAGGCTGAGCTTTCTCCTGTGCTGGCTGTGGGAGGGGCCACTGTGGACAAGAGCCCTGCAGAGAGCAAATGTCTGCTGGGATGACTGAGTGGGGTACCTGCAGCAGGACCAAAGATCAAAGAGCTCTGATCTGATTTGTCTGCTGCAGCTCCATATTACAGACCATATATATCACCATAAATGCACGTATTCAGCATATGTAAATACGGTTCAACATTATCATGAGAGGAAAGCTGTGATGCGTAATAGGTTCAAAAGTAAAGAGCATGACAAAGAGCCAGAACAAATTGTGTTCTATTATCAAAGTGTAATCATCGCCTTTACATTTGAACTGTAAATGCAATATTGACGTTAACAGAATTCCTTCAAACGCACAGCAAACGATAAATATTCTTGATTTTAACAGATGTTTATAATAACTTAAATTTGGATCATGATTATATAATACGGTCTGCTTCACATCTGATGTGAGAGCCTGAAGACCATCAAACAAGAGGGGTGTGATTATGTAGCTGCAACTAAAAGGAAATCAAGCAGTATATCCTAAATCAAGCATTTACCTCCCCTTGAAAACCCTGGCAACACATTTTTGACACTGCTGTATTTGTGCACAATATATAGTTAGAGTGGCAGGTATTGGCAGATGATAACGTCTTTATATAAATGTATAAAGGCAGCAGGGCAATAAAACTGCCACAATGAAGGGAGGGAGTTGCTTTAAGGCCAAAACTATTTCAAGCATTTAACACTCCAATTTTGTATCTATTTTTACATACAGCATGCATGAGGAACAATAACAATGTAGGACAAGTTATTCTTCATTCTTTTGAGGTCACATTTACTTAAAATAAATGATATAGCACACAGGGAGATGTGAAAATTAAACCGATCATGTAGTGCAGTGGTTCCCAACCTGGGGGGGCGCGCCCCCCTTGGGGGGTCACCAAATATCGCAGGGGGGGGGCGCCAGGCCTCAGATGATTTGAGACCAAATATCATATTTAGACTTTTTTTTACATATAATTGTAAGGCAATACATGATTGTCACTAAAAGCCTTGTCTCTACATTACAATAAAATATAAAAAATAATTGACTAATTAATTTTAATAAAAATGCAAGTTAGTAGCTAAAGGCATAAAAAGACAGAAATGTATAATTCTTTCTTTAATAGAAATGTTTCTTCTGCCCGTAAAGCGTCCAAATCAGGCTTGTCTGGATAAGCGCATGTTTAAAACATAGTCATTGTCCATGCCGGTTTCAGTTGGATTATTTGTCTGCTCCAATCAGATCGGTCTCCTCCATTTTGTAGATTATTTACGATTTTTGAATCCACATAAACACATCGGCAAAATCCAGCTTACTTTGAGCATGTGTTTTAAACTGTTTAATCCCTTTGTGAATTGTTTCCACTTGCGCCGTCCTTTAATTTCTTCATACAGCGGGAATCCAAATGAATTAATCCTGAGTCCAATAACCATCAAAGTCACTCCAATAGTGCTCCTTAATTACGCTTTCATCCTCCTTTAACAAAATACTTCACATTCATCCAGTTTGTGACAGTAGTTGTAGCATTTTTGAGACTTTTAAACTTTAATTACTACGTCATTACGCAAACGATGACGCAATACCAGTCGGACTCTGGGCGGTGTGAAAAGAGCCAGAGCTAAACCGAAGAACCGGTTCTGAACCTGAAAAGCTCTAGCACGGAGCTTGAACCGGAGTTGCGTTGGTGTGAATGAGGTATGTGTGCATAGCTCCTTCAACACGTTACTCACATCAGCCCACAACTCATATGAATGAACAGCAACATTAGGCAATGTTGGGCCGTGGTGGTGAACAACAGAGCTTCTCAGAGGCCATCTTGTTCTTGACAAAGTGCAGTCTGCTTGACAACAGGATTGCCGTTATTCCCCCTTTGCAGCCATGTATTTCTGTCACCTCATATCAGCACCATATCCATAGCTCCCTTTGACCAGGCCCAGTTTAGTTATCAAGTATAAAACAACATTTCTACATAAAACTGAACAAAAACATATTTCCTCTTGACTGAGCATCAAAGGATCCAAATAAACTTGTGTCCATCACATTCTATTAGCTTAAGACTGTGGGACAACATATGGTGCATAAGATTATGAAATGTCTGTCTCAGCAGTGCCCCCTAACTACATCTGCCAGAAGCCTTACTGTTGTGCCTACACAAGGATTAATGACATAGCATTGACAATACCCTTAACTATTCTTACAAAATTAGCCCACAAGCCATTGCCTTGGGTGTCTATTTTTTGCCGAGACTCCCCTGTGATATTCCCCCCCCCACTCCACACGCACAGAAAAAACAGGAAACTTGCTATGATATGGTGGCTTCCTTATTGCTTCCTATTTGCCTTCTGAATGACTCCAGCGTAACTGGCCTAGTCAACACGGGAAAGCACTTTACAATGTAGATCTGAAACTGTGCTCAAACAAAAACAAAAAGCCAGTCAGAAAAATACACTTCTCTGTAGAGTGATTACGAGGACAACGCTATTGACCTTGGCTACAGATTCACCTGTACCTAGCACTGTATGCTTCTGTATTGCTTTGAAATGTATATAAATTATTGAGTTGCTGTGGTTACAGGGCAAGATAAATCACATTTTGGAAACACTGACCTGTCTGCCACAACATTTGTCATTGTGAGGCTTCTCCAGCACTGAGGAATAGACAGGTTGATGATTCAAAATGAATGTTTCCATTGAACAGAGACTGAACATGTTCAAGCCTTAGCCGTGGATGGCCATGTGTTTTTACCACCTTGTTGGCTAAGGAACAGAAAGTACTAAACTACTATTATTACTATTATTACTACTACTTGGACCATAAGCCAAAATCAGAGCCAATAAACAAAAAAAGGCCTCTGGTGAGATGCACCAAGTTACCCGAATAGGAAGTCTTAAGAAGGAAGGGCTTTCCGCACCAAAGCCATGTGGCAGCTGTCACCAAGCCACACGCACCCAGGCTAGCCCAGCAGGACGATAAGGTCAGATCAGAAGTAACCTGCTGTGTTAACAAACTGCAGACTTATCACTGTGTACATAAAAGAGCATGAAAGAAACCTAATAAGACTGTACAATTGTTGGAGAAACTTACGTCAATATCAAAGAAGTCCTGGGAGTCGTCCAGCCCCTGCACCCGGATTTGTAGTCCTCGCCCATGGCTTTTGCTCCCGCTGAGCATGTTCCCACTGAGGCTTTGGCCCGGCTCCAAGGTGCTGATACCAGCATTGAACTGGGCTCCCAGCCTTATGCCTGGGGTCTGCAGGGCCCGGTATGAACCCTCAATATCCCCCATTACTTGCTCAGAGCAGCTCTCTCACTCCTGCAAATACAGAAATTATTATTAAGGTTTGGAAAAAATAACGAACACTTATTGAGTGAGTGAACTTTGGGGAGGGTAAATCTGTCTGAGTGTTGTAGGCTGACTTTGGTTGATGACTGATTTCATTCCAAAAAAGTAGTGTGGCTGTCTGAAGCCGTTTGTACATATGTCAGGCTCATTCCTGATACGTTTAACCAGCAGGGGAAGAAGTATTCAGATGCTTTACTTGAGTAAAAGTACCAATACACTGTCAAAATACTTCATTATAAGTAAAAGTCTTGCATTCATAATCTTACTTAAGTAACAGTACAAAAGTGTTATCAGACAAATGTACTTAAAGTATAAAAAGTAATAGTGCAGAACAATTGCCTAATGTGTGTAATTATATATGTGACATTTCTAAATACTATTGTTGCATCAAGTAGCATTTTACTGTTGTAGACACAAAGTTCTGAAGGACTTTTTGTAAAATATTTAAATAATTTAACTCTACTCGTTTCATTTTTAGAGATGCAGTTTGTTCAAAGAAGATAAAGCTATTCAATAAATGTAATGGAGTAAAATGACATTAGTTTACTTTTAAATGTAATGGAGTACAAGTATAAAGTTGCTTAAATTGAAATACTCAAGTACCTCAAAATTGTACTTAACTACAGTATGAGTAAGTAAATGTATTTAGAAGAAGAACCTTGGTTACTTCCCACCTCTGCGTGTAACACACAGAAACTGACATATCTCAGACATAGATAACATACAGATGTCCTCCATGCAGCCAGAGTGTAGGTGGAAACCTGCTAAAAGATAGTTTACGACCTGAAAGCACGAAAGGACGACGGAACGAGTGCGAGTTGTTAGGCGTTGCATGTGGCCAAAATCGGCCAGCAAGACTCAAATGTTACACATACCAACATTTTAAAGCGGGATACCATTACGTTAACGAACCACATATATCTCAAAACAGGTTTTAGGTAAGGTTTATTTTACTTTCGGTGAAATGGAGCTCAGTGGAAACTAACGTTAGTTTACCGACGAAAGCGGCAGTAAGCATTAAAATATCGTTGCCGAGTTCTTGTCTCCGAAAAAGTCGTCACACAGCAGTATCTTAATGTGATAGTATACCAATAAAGAAGCATTAGACTTACCGTTTTGCCCGTGTCGAAACAAATTTGTTAAAAGTTTGCTAGACTGAAAAGGACATTATCCCCGTCCATGGTCGTCGTCGTCCAACCGAGTGCGTTCACAGACTGCTCTGTCATTGGCTAAAGCAGTCCCCCTCGTTCTGCCATTGGTCCAAATGTGGCGGAGGATTGTAGGCTGAGAGCGGAGATTTACCTTACTTTACTTTAAATAGCCTGGATGGATGGACAGTAGTGTGGACAAAATAACAGATTGTGGACTTTTAAAAAAGGCCTCGTAGCAAGTTTAAAAAGTGTATGGTCTCGTGGCTTAATCTGTAGGCTGATGGTTGTTCCTCACCCTGAGGAAATAAAACGATTGTTGTATCTGATCAATGTAATCTGAGTTTTTATTTAAGTTTGGGCTAAAGCATGACCCGAGATACATATTATGTTTATTGGGTATATGTGTAATAATAATATGATATGTTTTTTTCTCCTGTACCCTCCATTTAGTCACACGTCACATTAAGTAACTGTGTGTGTGTGCGCGTGCGTGCGTGCGCGTCACTCACGAGGCGATCCCACTCCCAAGTATGCGTCGCTAAACGCTTCAGGTTTTAAAGTTAAATCCATGAATCATTTGTAGTTTGCACTGCAGTTTGTTTTGTAAACAAGTCGGACTGATTGAATAGGACCATAAAAGAAAAGAGTCTGACACTGTAATGGAGCTCCCCCTACTGTTCCCTCTAAATAAAGAACTAAATGCATTGGAGGCTCCTTCATATTAGATGACATCCTTACAAAAACAACTATAATGGACTTTAAATGTTAACCTGCATACATATTTCTTTCAGTCACAAATTACTCTACAAGAACAAAACAAAAAATTGGTAGACAAAAATGTAAAACAGCCTAAAATGTATACAACGTTAGGAAAAGGAGAACAAGTAAATAATAATAATTAACACATTGATAATAATAAAATAAATGTCAAAACTAAAGAATAACTTTATATATAGGAGAATATACTAAAAACTGTGGATCTTTTATGTCATCTTTTATGTATAGGATGTTATCATTTTTATCAAACTACAAACTTACATTTCACCTTCTTGGTTACGGGTGACAAAATGATATTTTCAGATTACATGCAGAAATATAATAATATAGTAATTGAAAGAAAGCAATGCAACAAAACAGAACATGTTAGAACGTATTCAAGATAGATATATAGAAAGATATACTTTATTGTATACTAATAATCAATAAACACATTGGGAGCAGCTGCAACAGGCTGCCACCTAGCACGGCGCAATCATGGCATATCATTGTCAGACAAAAAAGTGAGACATTTTCATCAAAGATTAGCAAAATCTGATAGATGCCAGTTGATCATGATGCTCACCTAAAATCTAATTATTTCTCATGGACATTTTGTTTTTGAAGTAACTAATGTTTCATGGTTGGCATTCTATCTGCACTTTGTTGCTTCCATTTGATATGTTCCTATTCTCTTTGGTTGATTTCCCCCTTTTTTCACTCAGGTCCATAGTACAGGCTGACAGCTCACACACTGCTGTGGGTTCATCACAAGATAGGTGGACACAGTAAAGTCTGTTGTGAGGTGGGAAACACCAAGAGTGTTTTTCACCACATAGTATCTCCCTTTTCCATGTCTTTGTGTCTCTGCATTCTGTGTCTTTGTTGTCTTTCTGTGTCTGCTTTTTAGTAATTGTATCTATCTTTGTGGTCATTTTGAATGCTTTTCTGGTTAATACCTACGTGTCTCTTCGACTGACATTTTGCAGGGGAAGGCAGGGGGCCCTGACACTTTGGACTCCTGGGACTGTGCCTGGTAGGCCTGTTCAATAATCCGCCCATGTATTCACCTTTAGAAGTAACTTAGAAAACGCTTTTGTTGGCAATGGACACAATAACAATAATGTCATAATAACATTTTCACAAACTAGGTTTGTTCTTAGTAGGGACCTGAGAATGTAGCCTTTCCGAACTGTTGGGGAAATACATGTATTTCTGCACATGTGGTTGTCTTCAAATAACATTGTTTGGAATGTGCACATGGCTTTCTTAGATTTACAGAAAACAACATTGTTAGCTTGGATTACGAATCTTAAAATGGATTGCAGTGGAAAATGTTTATCTTTTGACTCATTATGTGTTTCAACCCACTAAAGTCAGAAAATACTTTTGAAATCATCCCATAATGAAATGTGTGATCAATTATAAACTGAAACTTGCAATCTTGCCTTTTTTGTGTAGGAATACTCTCGTCTATATGTGATTTTAACTGGGTGGGATGTAGAAGGTCCACATCTACTTCAGTACAATGTTGATTTCCCTTTATTTTGATGGTACATTATACATCCATAGAAGTAGTAGCGGAGGAGTATATGAGGGAAAAATACTTTACTATATTACATTTATCTGACAGCTGTAAATGATAGTTACATATTTTCACATCAAGATTTCATACATTAATAATAGTATAGTATATATTAATATAGTATATAGAAGTAATACATATATATATATATATATATATATATATATATATATATATATATGTATGGGTCAATCCAACAGTATACAATTGTTTACAAACAAAATTCTAACTTGACAACTAAACTAACTAAATCCTTTTAATTGAGTCATTTTGCATAACAAATACTTTAGATACAGTAGATGAGAAATGATTGCAAATGTATGTATACATGTAAATATGTAAGTCGGAATAACTTGCAGAAACGATATAAAGGATCATCATTGATCAGTAGGGGTGGGAATTAATAAGCATTTGCTTCCTCCTCCCTTTGGACACATATGATTTATTATTATTAATATGAATATTTGTGTTGAATGTATAAATATTATGACAATTTTTTGTTGAATATATAAATATTATGAATATTGATAAATACTGTGTATTCTAACAATACGGTATTCTGTTTTTCACATTTGTTTGTTTTATTTGTTTTTTTTAATCTGTTCGAAATAAATATGGAAATTAAATGAAATGAGATAATTGAAATAAATTCAATTGAGTTAAGAACGATATTGAATGCAGGATTTTTACAAGACCCTTTACTTAAATAAAAATATTTGAATACTACTTCCAACACTGATTAATTTAGACCACATTTGGCAATACACCATGAACCACATGTTATCTTGCAATCTATGTTAAAACGTAATGTAATCAAAGTGCAGAAGTTGTCCAAGAGTCGGTGAGGCTCGGAAACGAGAAGAAGTTTTTTGTAATCGGACTCTTTGACGTGACGTTGGAGGATATGATTGGTGGGCGGCTCTGGTATATATCCGTCAGGCTTCAATCCCACCTTCTCGCCAGTGGAATTTCATCTCAGCTTCTGCACCTTCAGGGCAGACGAGAACACACAAATAAGTAAGTAATTCACAGTTTTCTACTGAATATGACTGCAATGCCCTTACATATGACCTCTACGTGTCTTCTACATAGCCGACTGCTACTTGTCGGAGAGCCAGTGTGTTGGTAAACCTGGAGCGTTACAGTATGTTCTGGCCTGACTCCGTGTCATTTCTCCCTGCTCAGCTGTATGCCTACGTGGACTTAGCGAGCTAGTAGAGCAGACTGTAAGCTAACCGGAGCTCGCTAGCTAATGCTACAGTTCAACTTGTACTTTTTACGGCCGTGTTAACGCTGGCTCATTTATATTAAAATGATACGAGCCCAGGGTTTGAGTGTGGCCGATTTAGTTCATCGTTTTATTTTCAAACCACCGATAGCCTAATGTCATTATAGCTGGCTAAGGCACAGCTTGAAGTTGTGTGCAGGGCTTTTGGTGAGCCAAGCTACATGTTAGCCGAGGAGCTACGTGTCACAGTCGCGCACACACCACAGTCAAAGTTTTTAGCAAGTTTGCTAACTAGCTTTAGCTTGGGGTTTGGAGCAAGTATTCCATGCTACAGTGATTGTGCTACTGATTATCTCAATTCAACCAACACGCACACGCTTTCGCTAAACATTTGGCGTTATATTACTGTCCCTTTGTCTCGATTTCAGTCCATTATTTATGGTTGTTCAACGTTAGCCGACATGACGGCAGCTAGCGTTCACTCTGATGTGTCGCTGGCAACTGTCAGCTAGTTCATTTGATATCGTGTTGGCTAGCACTCACACTAACCAGCTACTTAAATCCTTAATCTGGGATTTGTGTGTAACGTTAGACAGGCTCCAAGGTTGTCATACTGCAGCTAACGTTAATGCAAATGTAACTAGCTAGACGAGCACGTCAGCGTTAACTTGAGCAGCTCATTAACATGAATGACCTCGGAAGATCGATAATGTAAAGCAATGTTCTATTAAGAGACGTTGTTTGATAGCTTTAAAGTGCGATTGGGTTCTTTATGAGTTTGGAGCCATTATATGTCAACAGTTGAAACGCAAAACTGCAGTAATGACATAGTAATTCAAGCAAAACAGCCTTGCATCACTGTTGTAATTCACACGTGTCCTTTTAAGCCATGGAGTTAAGGGTTACTCTGTCTAATCATTTACTGCTGCTCTAAAAAAAAGCTTTCGTGGCTTTTACATAAGTAGTTGCTTTAATAACGTTAACAGGCCATACGTTATGCCCATCACTAGTGCACCAAATCAGTAAGAGCTAGTTAGTTGCAACCTTTTGTGCCTACTTGCAATATTGTTTATGCACAAAAAGGGACCCTTAACTAAACATGGAAGCGTGTGCACAACTCAGTTGTAACTTAAACCCATGTCTAATAACATTCTGATGTGATAGGGAATGGATGAAACCAGTGGAAAACAACTTTTGTTTTATAGACTCTTGCTCAAAATGTCACTTTGAATCATACATAGACATAAGATAGCATTCATAGGCTATTTACCTGGTTATCCCACAGCAGCTTCATTCATTGCCAGGTCTGGTCTCCTGTCTGACAGTGAAGTGTCCAATTATAGCAGCCAGATGCTTTCCAAGGAGAGGGAGATCCAATGGCACCTATACTTTACTGGAGTTCAGTAATGCACTTCTTGGCTTCAACTTTATCTGAATTCTTCTCAATTGCTGGATGGTTTCAGTTGTATGAGATGTCATTGTTCCTACTACTGATCTCCCAATTAAGCTCTACTGTCAATATATACATATACATAAGTTATACCCTAGCAACAGC